TATGGTGAAATCCACTTTTATAAGTTGAACCAAACCCATCTAACTCATTTAAAGGCAATTTTAACATGTTAAACCTTCAATATGAGATGAAAATTGAGGTTAGGGTTTGAGAAAAATGGATATATATATATAGTATAAGGGTAAATTAGTAAAATTAATACTAAAATTTTTGGGACCAGGCCTAAAGATATACCCATGTCCGGCCTGTACCCAAGGTCGGGTCTTAAAATCAAGTCCAGACTCAAGCTCAAGCCCGTCAACCTCGGGTAAAACCTGTCCCTTTTGGGCCGGACCACGTCGGGTACCCAAAAATATCAGACCCATTGCCATCTCTACTTTTTTTCCCTGGTTAGCTAAATAGTTATCACACATTTAACTTTTCTATGGTCTACAAAACATTTCAAAATGAGTAATGTTATATTTACACTATCCATTACACCATGATCATTTTACTAATAATTATTTTATTATAATATTAAAAATTAAAAATAATTAAAAATTTATATAAATATAACATATGTCACATCATGATATAATAGACGGTGTAAATAAAACATTTTGAAAGAATCAAATTCGTCATTTCATATCACTATATGCCAATCGTTACATCCCAAAACTTCAATCACTCACCGCCCATCCACTCTTTAACCCTCTCATCGCCGTCAGATCCTCGTAAAGCGCAACAAATCAAGTGTGGCCTCATCGGGTCCACGTGGACCTCTACTTGTTACCTTCACCATCATGCTAACTCTTAAGGAGAACGACAAAATGCATAATGCAGGGCTGACGTCACTCTTTTAATAACGAGGTCCAGAATCGCATTGGTCCACTGGCATATCCACCGCCCATCACACCAATAATTCCCCAAATGTCCACTACGTGGCAGAACCATAACTGTCCCTTTGACAATGACGTGGAAACCGTCTATCCCATTGTTCATGACACGTAGGAAACCTTAAAGAGTAATCATAAAGTAGATCATAACGTGGTATCTTCCATCACGATTCTAAGTTCTAACAGTTAATTGAAAATAAAGGAATATTCATATGTTATTTTTTATTTATATGCACCAACCCAATATTTTTACGTATCATTTCTGCACTTACTCTTCACTTAAGCATGCTGTATTAACTTTACTTGAAAGTTAGTAACAACATTTGGCTATCTCCTTTAAGTAAGATTTTTCTGCATATAACTTTTTTATAAAACTTGTAAACCTAATGTTCATATTTTTCTTTTACTAATTTAATTTATAGCGGTAAATAAAATAAAAATTAATTTTCTTATTTTGAGAATTGAAATTCAATTAAATTTATTTAGTAAAATTTAGCAGAAGTGGTTAAATTGAGAAGTTTCCACATTTGTCACATATGTGTTTAAAAAGATTAGGAGATTTGAATAAATGATTATTCTCTCAATTTCGAGGAAGGTTCAAGCTCAGCGCAGCGGCCAAACACGCTGCATTAATATACCGTGCTCAACACCTGACATCTGAAAATTCATAGCCGCCAAGCGAAAGCAGTAATACTCTACGGTGACGTCCCACACAAATCATAGCAGCCAAACCACAATAATCTTTCCACGTTTCCCCCTTTAATTAACCGAACATCACAGTATCACACTCCCGCGCATTTTAGCACGAAGCCGTCCACAAACAGACTGTTCAAGAGTCAAGCCACAAACATAGACTCTCCACCGGAAATACCCGGTCATACTCAATATAACCAAACCTTCTTGTATCTCTCCGACCCTACAACTGCTATTCCCGGTAACCCTTGAGAAAATTATCGCAGTTTCTTATCTACTTCTTTATATAAATAAGTAGTCCAGGAAGGCTCGATTCCTCATAATCATAACCTCCGATTGCCCTCCAAGTTTTAAACCGTCAGTTTGCTGTTTTTGCACCTCAACAACTTCACTTATATGATAGCTTCCGGTGACCGGAAACCTGAGAGCCCAAGCCCGTCACCAGCTCTCGGTTTCCCTCGATTCCGTTTCTTCCGTTACCGGCGCTTGAGGTAAGAAGTCACACCCAGAGTCAAGAACGTAAAAGAAAATTTATCGCATTTTGCTTTATTTAAATCTATTTAGGGATTCTATGCCCACGTCTAAGAGTAACCGGAGGGGACAAGAGCAGAGCCGGAAAGGAAAATTGTTATCGGAAAAATCGATGTCGTTTCACGGGAGACCTCCGGCCATGATGATGGCGGAGAAACAGTTGAAAGGCCAAAGACGTTGCCGGATTTGCATCCGGATCGGAGTCCCGTCAGTTTTTCACCGGAGAATAACCGAAGTTGACGAAGCTGTTGTTAACGTTACGGTTCAGGAAGCGTAGGTGCCGTACCCGTAATAATGTCTTCGGAAAACACCGTCGCCGACTTGGTCGCCGCCGCCATGAGGCAGTACGTCAAAGAATGTCGGCGACCGATCTCGCCGACCGCCGACCCGTCCTGCTTCGACCTCCACTATTCACAGTTTAGCCTAGAAAGTAAGAATTCTGAAATTACTCTTTGCACCTAAACTTCAGCCTTAGATTGGTCCAGTTTAAACACAGTAACACGCGTAGCGCAGTGATTGATTGACCTTTTTCTTTTAAATCTCGTTTGGATAAAACGAGAAGTTGACGGAACTTGGATCGAGAAACTTCTTTCTGTGTAGAAGAAAAGCAGAAGTGCAGAGTGAAGCAACGACGTCGTCTTCGACGTGTTCAAAGGAGCAGAAAAGTTGCAAGGCAGATTCCTTGCTGAAGTTTATGGGTTTCAGTGGTGTTGTGGTGTAAAAAGTAAAAAACGGTTAGATTACAGTTGAAATATTATAGGTGATGTGACAGGATCACATATGCGAAATTTGCGGATGCTTTTAGGTTTTATTAAGAAGATTAATGAAGGAGATCGTAATATCTTCATCTCCATCTGATTTCTCCTTTTGTTATGATTCTTCAACGATTGAATTTCCAATATTATGTACAGCTTTTTGTGTACCAAATCTTTATTGTCTAATTTAGTTTGTGTTTACGAAATTCATATTATTCTTATACTTAACATCTTGATGAATCAATCAGAAAAAAACTGCTTTTCAAATAATTGTTTTTTAGTTTTAATGACGAAAAATAAGAGCCTTGTCAGCTAATTGTGGGTTTTACAGTTTACTACGTGACTGTCGTTTTCTTAAAAAAAAAAAAAAAAAACATTTTTTAATATTACCAGATGTCAAATCAAATCATAACAATCAATTACTTTTGATGGGATAAAAATTGTTAATAAATGATAACCTTTTTCTTAAAATACTGTATATAAATAATTTTACATATTAAATGTGAAATTTAAATTAATAATTGGTTGAAATTAATTGATAGAGGGATAAATCAATAACTTGACGCTTCTTCCGCTTGTTGTGTCTAATATGTGAGGCTGCATACAGGAAAACAATGGCATTCAATTTGAATTGATTGGGGTCCGTGAAAATCAGGTCCTTACTTCTAAAGTTATGGACCACATCATATAATTCTAAATTTCTCCCTAATATCCACTTGTCACCTAAAATATCTACCCTCTTAACTTGTCCTAACTTTTTTAAAGGAATATTTCTTGATCCCTTTCTTTTGAATGCACAAAATCCTACTGAATATATTGATGGACGTTGGTGTAACTTTTTCACGTCAATTCTAAGGTTGCGTAGTGAATATTACATTATCACCATCCTTTGGAGGGATTTGAGAGTTGGGTGTCTGTTTCATACTTAATTATTTACCCAATATTTCTACTTAGAAAACTCTCCAATAATTATAACTCCTCCTTAATCATATTCTTTGCCTAAACACATGGAAATAAAAGGAACAATTTTTTGGGTTAAACGTCTTGAATACAAAGGAAATGGGTTGGCACTCTATTTTAAAATGTAGTGATGACATGACCGACCTCTCAAAATAGGAACAATTTTAAACCTAATTAACCTACTTAAAACATTCCTATCATGGGCTATGTTAATATTAAAATTGCATTCATTAATAGACACTGATTAAAATTTATATATATATATATATTATATATATTATATATATATATAATTATATAGAACCTGATAAATGGTTGGAAACAGATAACTGATGGGCCAGAGTCTTGAGGCCAAATATGGATCCGTAATATACGAGTACTATGTTCTTATATATATATTATATATATATATTATATATATATATATATAACTATATATATATATATATATAGAACCTGATAAATGGTTGGAAACAGATAACTGATGGGCCAGAGTCTTGAGGCTCAAATATTTGGATCCGTAATATACGAATACTATGGTCCAACTAAAATTTAAGGACTGTTTTGCCTTCCGAGTAATGCTACATTTACACCACTCTTTTACACCATATTCATTACATCATGATGTGGCATAAGCGACAACCACACAAATTTTTTATTATTTTGAATTTTTAATACTATAATAGAATTTGTGTGGTTGTGGCATATGCCATATTATGATGTAATGAAAATGGTGTAAAAAAGTGGTGTAAATATAACATTACTCTTTGCCTTCCTTATGATAATATGCTTAATTTGTTGGGCGGGTTGCAATAGTTTTCTGACTGCTGCTATTATTTCAGTTACTAAATAATCCCACTTTTTAGAATATTTTATTAAATAAGTAAAATATATTTAATTGATAAATATATAACGAAGTAAAACATGAGGTAAACTTAAAATCAAAATTTTCATTTTTAGTGGAAATATGTTTTATTCTTTTTTAAAAAATGATTTTGGAAATAGACGTGGTAGATAAAACATAAAAATATAGGAACTGAAAAATAGGTTCGAGCTGAACACTCCAAAGCCCAATAGTGATATTTACCGGTCATTATTTGGTAATCTGAAGCCCAAAAAAGCCCAATCTGAAAAGCTCAAAGCCCATACAAAAGTCTCGCTTACTCTCACAAAACCCTAGAGTACAAAAAAAAAAAAAAAAATTAAAAGAAAAAAATAGAAAAAACCCAAAACCCTAAATACAGCTAAACTAGGCGGCAATTCTCTTATAAATTCCCTCCAAACCCCATTCCTTTACGCCTCTTTCGTTAACTCTCTCTAAAACCCTTTCTCTCTCCAACGCTCACGCTTAATCACTTATTCTTCTTCCATGGAGTTCTGGGGTAAGTTCTTCCTTTCTTTCCGCGCTTACTCTATGCATACTTTTGTTTACGATTTTCCAACTCATTACGGTTTTTTCTAGCTGATTAGCTTGAAATCCGAGATAATATCGGAAAAAAAATACTTCTTTCTTGTGATAGTCTTTTTCAGGTTATGTTTTTATTTGTTTATGCATGGTATATGTTTCAGTTTACTATTATTTATGTGTTTTTAGTATATAGAGATATGTTTGTTTATTTAAGGGAAGAGATAAAAAAAATGGACGTTTTTTTAACTAGAGTTGAAGTGTATTGTTAGGTGGAATGACAGCGAGTCTAGTTTCTCCAGTTATTTAATCTGCGAATGAGATTTTTTCTGAGAGAGTGATATGGAGTGCCTATTCTGGAAAGAAAGTCTTGCTGTTACAGAATGGGCTAAAAAGTTGGGTTGGTTTTATATTAGAAAATGAAGATTATTAAAAAGCAACTCTTTTTTTGTTTACCATGGTATTATTCCCTTTATATACTTTTGTTTTTATTTTCCTCTGTTTAACTAGCTTGTTGTATGAACCGATGTTTGACCAGTGGTTAGCACTTTGAACATTAGTGCTTAATTGCCAGTACATTACTTGCTGTGTACATACTCTGCTATGAAATGCTTTATGTGGGTTGTTGGTTCACTTCAGGCTACTATTTTGTAGTCTTCGCTTCTTTCAATAGGGTATTATCCTTCTTGATATTACTCAGTTATGCTAATTTCGGATTATTCTTGTCCTCCTATAGGTGTTGAAGTTAAGGCCGGACAGCCACTTAAAGTAAAACCAACTTTTGACAATATCATCCACCTCTCACAGGTGATTGAATTGTTAATGTTTAGTACTTTCAGTTTTAATCAGTGGAGTTTGTTTCTAACAAATTGTATGGATGTTGCTTCTTTTCCAGGGTTCCCTTGGTGAGTCTAAGAAGGATAAAGGACATGAATCTGTGCCCCTCTTTGTAAAATTTGGAGACCAGAAGCTTGTCCTTGGAACTCTTATTTCTGATACTATACCACAACTATCTTTTGATCTAGTATTTGAGAAAGAGTTTGAGCTTTCTCACAACTGGAAGAATGGGAGTGTCTACTTTTGTGGTTACCAAACTCCCTTGCCACAAGATAGTTCTGGTGAGTCTTAATGTGGTTCATTGGCTTGCAAGTTTCATCTTAACTGTTTAACTTAACTGAAAATTTTTATTTGTACAGATGAGTTTGATATGGATGGATCAGATGAGGATGAGGAAGAGGATATTCCAATGATTGCTGCTGAGAATGGTAGATCCTGTTCCTGCACTTTCATGCAGAGAGTTATAATATACTTTCAATGCTATTAATTATCTATCGTGCAAAAAATTAATTTGTTTTTTTCATTTTTCTTGCTTGTTCTGTTAAGGAAAAGGTGGACTAAAAGTTGAGAAAGCAAAAGCTCCTGTAAAGGCCAATGCTGGAAAGCCTGAGATTTCTGTAAAGCCAAGCAAGGCAACAATCAAACCTGAGGAGAATGATGACAGTGATTCAGATGATTCAATGGATGATGGGGTGGAAGTTGATTCTGATGAGGTACCTCTATTATTACCTGGTAGTACTTTGAGTAGTTTTGAATGGCATTGATGTGGTTGTGACGGCATGAGGTCTCTCATTTTTTGGCCTTCTATATCATACATATTGCATAAGTTGTGGAGGCTAAGGAGTGGGCAATTTAGACAGGCCAGGGAAATAATTGGAAATAAATGAATTTTCCCAAGTGATACCAATTCTAGCATTTTAACAAGTGTTTCAGATGTAGGTGATTATTTTATTAGTATATTATTTCAGCTGATTGTGCTGCAACTATCTTTTTTGTATCCCCTCTTCTATTTTGAGAAACCACTTTACCTTTGCGTTTTTTTATTGCTAAGTTATTTTTTGAATATCTTTTTGCCTAAATAAATTTGCTGGCTTTTTCGGTTGTCGATCAGATATCTGATGACGAAGAAGGTTCTGATGAAGATGAGGACGATTCAGAAGATGAAGACTCTGATGAAGATGAAGAGACACCTAAGAAGGTATGTGTATGAAATCTGTATTTTACACAAGTTTTATGTTACTTTGGTCTCTAAATGTTGATTCTTTGAACCGTTATAACATATTTTTGTTCATTTTAAAGGCTGTAGCTGGGAAGAAGAGACCAACGGAATCAGCTACAAAAACTCCTGTTCCTGCTAAGAAGGCAAAGGCTCCAGCTACTCCTCAGACTGGTAATGTTCTTGTGGCATGATCATTTACAGTGTTATTCTATTAGTTAGTATTATTTAATTGTTTATGGATGAGTAATGGGCTGCGTATTCTGCCATTTATTGTTATTCATGCAATAGAAAGAACTGCAAGTTTTCCGTTTTGCTTAACCTTGACACTGCATAATATTTTATATCAGATTTATTATTCTGTTAAGTATTGAACTTAGTGATGTCTTTAGTTGCTCTATTTTATTCTGAATAAATTTGAAGAGATGGTTAATGTTTGATTTTTGTAATTCTATTTATATGAAAGGTATACCTATTTTTACCACCTTTCACTAAATTTATGTGCTAGTTTACTGCTCAGAAATTTTCTGAATAATTGTATTTCTATACAGTTAATTTGCTGTCTTTCCCATTGGATGTTGAGTATTGATTGCTCTAATTGCCTTGTATGTTTTGATAATTACTATTTGGTAGAACACCTTATCCTTGAGTTATTTCATTAATCAATCCAATGGCACCAGCTTCTTTAATGAAAATTATATGGAGTTATTTTTTTTGTTCTCATTTATGATTTGCAATTATTTTACCTGGCACTATGATTGTTGACTGGTTTCAGAACGCATGAACTAAGTTTTTTCGTTTTCTGGATTTTGCTTTTGTGGTTAGATGGAAAGAAGGGAGTCCATGTTGCAACTCCTCACCCATCAAAGCAGGCTGGCAAAACACCTAATGACAAAACTCCCAAATCTGGTGGTGGCCAATTTTCTTGCAAATCGTGTAGCAAGTATGTTCATGCCCTGTACAATCACTGTAAATTTGAATCATAAATGTTAGTATTGGCTTGTGACTGACGTGGTCTGTTTATATGAATAGGTCATTTGGGTCGGATGGTGCTCTACAATCTCACAATAAGGCAAAGCACAGTACTAGCAAATAGATGGAGTAGTAGTGTCATAACGTGCTTTGCTGATGGCTGTGGCATGTTTATTTTTGTGTGGAAATACCCTCCACCCCGAGAGCTGTGTTTTTGGTAGGTTTTGGCAAAAGTGAAGGAGAGAGCTTATCTTAGTAGTACTTCTGTGATGGCTATTAATAGGTGTTTTACTTCCGGAGAGTTTATATTTATTAAAACTTGCTTTCTGATGCCTTTAAATTAAATGTTCCTAATTGTGATGCTGTTTTGTCGATATGGTTTGTTGTCTTTTGACCATTCATTTTCTGATCATCTCTTGCTCACTTTTTATTAATGTTTCTGATCTCTGCACCATCGTATGTTTCTGGATTTGTTGGACAAGGAAGTATTGGACTTTATACGATGTTAAGATTTTAACACATTTTATATCGTTTCACGATTTAGGTAAATTCATGAGCATTTTAATAATTTCTCTACTCCATGTTACAAGTAATGAATCAAATACTGAGAAAATTGAATTCATGCGATCTTGTAACAAATAATGCCATCATTGATACGATAACAAAGGGGTTTTGTTATTGTGCACCAATTAACAATATATCAACCTATATCTTTTTATTAATGGAAAATAAAGGTGTAAAAATTACTGTTTTCACTTAGTTATTTATAGTTATACTTAGGGTATATTATTAAGAAATGGTGTATTATTGGAAAGATAGATTATTAGGGAATCTTTAGAGAAATGTGTTTGGTGGGTTGGAATAAATTGATGAGTATGTTATAATAATATGTTTGGTTGAGAGGATAAATAAGTAGGTATGTTATGTAAATTATTAAATTGTTCTCATTTTTAAATAATAATATAATATTCTGGTCATACGTCGATAAGGCTAAATTCGGTCAGATTTGGTCGTGAATATGGTCATTTCACAGCTAGATCTGGCCGTTAATATGGCCATTTCATGGCCAAAGATGTGGCCGTGAACGGCCACAGATTAGGTCGTGAAAAGACTAGATCTTTGGTCGTGAAACGGTCAGATCTGGTCGTTTCTGGCCATGGATCACAAATCCATAGCCGAAAACGTCCTTATCGGCACACGACCGGCAAGATCTTGTCGATTTTGTGTCGATATGACGAATTTCGTCGGTGGCCAACGGTGGTGGCTAGCGGCCAACGTGGTCTTTGATGGTTGGGGGTATTTTGTTAACTTTTAAACTTTTTTGTGGCGGGGTGTTTTAGCTAAATTCTCAAATGTAGGGGGTTTGGGCTACTTGTTATTTAGTAAACATATGAGGGCAAATATGTCCGAAATGATAAATTATTAAGGGCAAAATAGGGTCAAAATTAAGATTACCTCGATAATCTTATAATAAAACTCCTTGGGAAGGTAATCTGATTACCTCCAATATTACCAACATTAAACATTATTTGCAATAAAAGATTACGTAATATTTTATTACTTGACAACCAAATGAGGGAATCTTGAAAATTAAACAAAGATTACAAGATTAATCTTATATCACCTTGAACCAAACGTTACCTTAATGCAATCATTCAAACCATATTGATGTGTTCAACAAAACCTTGGTCTTGTTTTGCCTTGCTTGTTCATAGATTGCAAATTCTAAAGGGTTGTTTTCACCAAGGGGCAGTTGAGTTATTGGCCACTAATGTCCAGTTTTTTCTCGGTTTTTTTTGCTTGTGCAGTTATTTGAAGTGAGTGGGAGGTGTTTGTTGATCAGAATCTTTCACAAATTTGGTTGGGTTGCTTTGTTCCATGCTCATTGAAATTCTCCAATACCCAGCCGCCTTGGGCTTCTTGGGGTTTCACTCTTAGCCTCTTTAACTCTTGATTCCACTGCCACAAACACTTCACACCTAGCCTCTAAACACCACTATTTTAAAACCTGAATCGAAGGGTAACCTGCCCTGTTGCCCAGGCCACGGGTCAACCGGTCCAACCGATTAGACCTTCGGTTGGATCGGTGATGTCAGCACAGAAAAAAAAAACTTGTTTTTTATTTTGTATTTTAAGATTTCCATTTTTTAATAAGACAATAATAACTTAATTACTGCCCACCATGATTCAAAGTTCAAATTTAATAACGATCCCAACATAATATAAGTATTTAACAACAATCCAAATTCCAAATCCAAACATAATGTTGTGTTCATCTTCATCCATTACATATTAAATGACAAAATACAAAATAATTAATAACAAAACATTTGGTAAAAGTGTTTTTTTTCTTTGATCCGTCTCCATGTTGATTGAGCTTCACACAGTAGCATCAAAATTCATCACCATCACCATCACCATCACCATCACCATCACCTACATAAATTTCAGTAAAAAAATAGAAAGCATAAGTTAAAACTTGTAATTTAATTTAAAATAGATATTAAGTTGCTTAAATATTTGAAACCAACCTTCTGAACCATCGGTTGAATCGTAAAAAGAGGGGTGATCAGCAACTCTAGCTCCAGCAGGAATAGATCCTTCTCCATATAACATTTGTTCCAACTCCTCATAATTAAGTTCACTGACCTCCTCTTCATCGTCAACTATCCAACATTCAGTTTTGTCGATACTTTCATAATCAATAGGATGAAAACTTATTTTCTTGTAACACCTCCTAAAATACCATAATGAAATATTAAAAGCATGACAAGTAAAATATCAAAGAAAATAATGGATAATAACAATAAGAGTAATGCATAATTGAGTAATTGATAATGTTTTATACCTGTTTTACAAACGCAAGTTATAATGAACAAAAACAAGATCATTCAACCTTTGATGCTCCAATCTATTCCTCTTTTTAGTATGTATGCGCTCAAAAACATTCCAATTTCATTCACATCCCGAAGAGCTTGAAGTTTGGCTAAGAATTTTTATTGCAAACTTTTGCAAATTTGGACTACTATACCCAAATGATCTCTACCATTCATCTAATTGAAAATTAAACATACTAAATAAATTAGACTTAAAAAACAAAAGAACTCATAAATTTTATAACTATTACGTACCAGGACGTGTGGTTTTGGCGATTTCAAGAGCAAGCTCACGAGAAAAGCTTTCCTCTCGATTTGAATATAATCTACTCTCTTCCATTAACCTTGTCTTGTTCAAATTGAATGCACTTGCTTTACTGTCAATAGTATCAAGGAAACCACTCATGACTTCTGGCTTGGCGCAAAAAGATGCTTCGTCATATTTAAAGGCAAGATTCAAATAATAAGCCGCAGCATGGATATCACGGCGCAACGTCCTATCCCAGCGTAGCTTAATGATTCAGTATAAGGCTTGTACAATCTCTTTTTATTCTTAAACAACTTCTTAATTGCATTAACCGCAACATGGATATCACGGCGCAACGTCCTATCCCAGCGTAGCTTAATGATTCGTGTATAAGGCTTGTACAATCTCTTTTTATTCTTAAACAACTTCTTAATTGCATTTTTCGCTTTGTACATGCCATCATACACATATCCTATTGCAGGCATCTCATCTGAGTCAACAATCCACAACAAGCGCATCAATGGACTCACAACTTTGGATATCTTACCCATATCATTCCAAAAATCGTTATCTAGAATTGTGCCAATAACATGTATGCCTTTATTACTTTTTGCATATCAAGAATCGACAAATGACTTATCTGTCACCATGGCTTGCAAGTCATGTTTGTGCTCATAAAGGCTTCTCATTGCAATAAAAGTTATAGCAAAACGGGTCGCGCTCGGACGGACAATTTCTTTCCAACCCTGTTCAATTGATAAATAATAGACGTTAGTCAATTATAAAAAATGTATATTATGTTATGACTTGACAAGAATATGAGCTAAAGGTATATTACCTGTCTTCTCCTCAACCAAGCTATAAAAAATGTATGATTATATACAAACTTCGTCACCTCAGAAGCACGTCTCGCAAGATAAACTATGTGATCCATCTCAACTATGTCTTTTAACACCAAATTTATGCTATGTGTTGCACAAGGCGACCAAGTAATACTCGGATATTTCTCAGACAACATTCTTCTAGCAGCTTTATAATTGGATCCATTGTCTGAGACAAAATGGACAATACTATTTGGTTCAATCCATAAAGCTACCTCCTCAAACATCTTCAACAATGTCCCAACATCCTTCACAACATCTGAAGCATCAATTGATTTCACAAAACAAACTCCCTTAGGACAATACACCATAAAATTTATCAATGACCTATGTGAATTATCAGTCCAACCATCAGCCATTAAAATACATCCAACGTTTTCCCAAATCTTTCTGTAACTATCAACAAAAAGCTGCACTTCCTTCTTAGCATCTCTTAACAAATTGACACGCAAACCATGATAATTTGGGTGTTTATACCCAGACTCAATTGCAGTCATAGCATCCACCAAAAGCTAAAGATAAATTGAATTTACAGCATTAATTGGGATGCAAGCATCGTAAAAGAATCTTGCAAAAGCCATGTCTGCTCTTCACGTCGCATCTTTTCCAGCTAAACAACTCCTAATTGACGATTGAGATTCAACAGTTGTCCTTGGAGCAAAATAGTCACCAACCCCAATAGTTTTTTTCTTTTTGATTTGTCTAGCATTGTACTTTCTGTTGACTGCCAAACCTACTTTCATTTATGTGAATTTCTGATGGACAAAACTCTTCATTATCTTCATTTAACATATCTCCCTCCAATCTATGTATGGGAGCACCGTAGGGAGTATTATACTTACTAGAATCAACCTTCTCTTTATTCTTTATCCTAATGTCTTTTAGTGATTCTCTCATCAAGTATTGAACATCAAAAGGAACTTTTAAACAAGCACCAACATCCCCCTTTGTTCCAGCTAGATGCTGTTTCATTCTAAAAATACCTCCTCCTCTAGTTACTTTCCCACGATGAAGACATTTTAATGTCTTCCTTCCATTTGGATTTACACCATCAATAACATGTGTCCATGTTATATCAGTCATACCTCTACTAGATTGTGAAGAAGACCTAGAGCTAGATGTTGACATTGTCTGTTTTTAATCTTTATCTACCTATCACACAAGAAAAATTTAGATGCCTGAAAGCATGATTAAGAAAATGAATTGTGAATTTGTGATCAGCACTCAAAATGTTCAGTACTGTAATTAGCTCAAACAATTATTGCAAACAAAAGAATCACATAATCACGTATTGTTAAATGGGGAAGTATACAACAATTGCAAACAAAAGAATCACATAGCATTTTCTGTGTTTTTTACTACATCATGCATGAACTCAATTGGACTGTGCAAAATGTTAAAATGGTGTTTATTTAATAATTTTAGTCATATTAATTTGCTTGTTTATAATCATTTTAGTCATATTAATTTGCATGTTTATAATAATTGCTTTCTAAGGTAAGAGTAGGAGTCACATATTCTTTGGAAATTAAGAAGTCAAAAATAGTATATTTTGGTTGCTAATTTTTTAAGTGACATGTGTTTTAAGATCTTCAATAGTTTAGTAAAAATAAAGATTACAAGAAGGATATTTTGGATTGTTTATTTTAAGCACAAGCAAAGGAAGGACTGTAAATAATTTGCCTTGACTTTTTATTTATTTTTCCAATTCTTATGGTCTACACTATACAGCCCACGAGTTGATAGTTTGTAAAGAGAAACACAGCAGTTGGACTGGTGCTCTAAACTGAACACAAACAAACAGAGAGATATGATGCTGCTAAGCCAACCTCTTCTATCAGCCCGAAAATGCTATATCAATCTTAAACTAACAAACCCCAATTCACCTCTTTTCTTTAAATCAAAATCAAAATTCATCATTGGAACTGGAACTAGAAGAAACTCTTCTAATTCTAGACCTCTCAATCTCACCCTGGCAAAATTTTTGCAAACAAAAGAATCACATTTAAGCATTAAAAACGAAATCATTATAGAAGATGAACCTGTGAATGGCATGTTTATTACTTGGATCGTCGAGGAATGGAGCTGTCGCCGTAGATTTCTAGTGAGGAACAGAGCTGTTGTCATCATCGTCATCCAAGAATGGAGATGCCGTTGTCGTCGTCGATTTCCAGCAGGGAATGGAGCTGTTGTCGTCATCGATTTCCTGCGAGGGAGGAAGGTGTCGTCGTCGATTTTAGAGAGTTCAGTTGCGATTTGGTGAATGGTTGCGATTTCAGACCTCAGGGAGTAGAGTTCATTGCGATTTGAGTGAGATTTCATAGAGGAATTTGCATAGAGAAGAAGCTGAGAAATTTGAGAAACAGAGAAAATGAGAAATGAAATCAAAATGGCCTTGCGACTTGCGTGCGTAGAGTTAGATATTTTTTTCCCATTTTGTAACTTTCGACCAGTTTATCCGCCGGTCTAGTTGGACCAGCAGTTCACACATTTTATCCGGTTTTTAAACAGTTTAAAGCGGGTTATTACATAGTAGTGGGTTTAGTGTTGACTCGAACCGGATACGTGATCGCCTTCTAGTTCAACCGATTGGACCGGTCGGTCTGGTCCTGTCTCATTTTTTAAACAATGCTAAACAACACTCACCATTAAACTTCCAAAAAACACATTTTTTGACTTGTCACAAACTATTTGAGAAAGTGCCTGAACCAAACACAACACACCCGAAAAATCCCATTCTTCACCCTACCCAAACCAAATTATTAAACACTACCAATACCTCTTCTCAACAGCACCAACCGTCTAAAAAGTTGGGAAAAAACTTTTTATGGATTAAAGATTTGGAATCTTGGATAGATGACAAGTACTTGCTTATCGCATTTTTAAGTGTGACAATTCAAGGAGTCAAGGTTTTTCACTATAAAAACTCTAGTTTTGAATTTCTTGACTTTGAAAATAATGATGTTGTAGTTAAGGCATTGGGAACTTTCCATAGCTTAACAATGTTGAACTCTAAGAAACTCTTCAAATTCAATTGGGCGTCTTCTAAGCCCTGTGAGAAACAACAAGCTTCGAAGCCATTTTAGATAAGAAAGTTGTGGGTAAGAGCACAACAAGAGCGTCTTCCTCTTGGGTGGATGAAGTACAGGTAACGGAGGTCGGCACTCATTTCACCGTTGATACTATGGCTCTAGATATTAAGGATGAAATGCTTTGTATTTCAGATGATGTTATTGCTAATAGTGACGTTGATTGGTGCTGTTGTATTGTAGGCTTTTTCTATGCCTTTCCAGTTTACCTGCTTGATTGCCTTCCATGCATGGAAAGAAAATGGTTTTGAGGATGTTATGTCCACTGACACCGACTTCTTGATATTCATATTTAGGGATGAGGATGCAGTGCATTCAGTCGTAGAGAGGGGGCTGTGGATGTTTGGGGATAAGTCGATTATTTTATAGCAATGGCATGCTTAGTTTTCCTTCGACAAGAATCGCATTTCCAAGGTATCGGTGTGGGCTCGGTTACATGGGCTGCCTTATCCACTATGGATGCAAAAAGGTCTTAGTACGGTTTCTACTATATTGGGTCGACTGTTATCGTGTGATAAGATGATCATGAGCGTACCCATTTGTCCTATGCTCGTGTTTGTGTTAAATTAGATGCAGCTAAGCCTCTCAAGCGCCAATTTGACATTCAGTACCGATTATCTATGGAACCCATTAAGCTTCTAGTGGAATATGAATGGATCCCTAAAAGAGGCCCCAAGTGTTTCTTGTTTGGCCATGTTTGTCGCCAATTAGAGGTTCCTACCGCATCTACTATTCAGGATAAGGGTAAGACAATTATCAGTTTTCAAAAGGCATTAGGGAGTGGTCGTACTGTGAGATCAGAGGATTGTGGGCCTTTGGAACAACCAATTTCTATAGATGCTATTAGGGAGAGGGAGAGGGAGAAGGATGTTTCAGAGCTAGTTGGGGTTTCCATCGTAGATGGGACTACTACCACTCATTTTAGTTCGGATAGAGTTACAGAAGATTTGATTTTGTATCAGCAGAGTGGTCGTGCTAATAGAGATGACTTTTCCAATTCTGATTCTGGTTCGAATCTTTATTCTTCTCCCTTATAAGGTGAACAAGAACGCATTATGTGGTTTCCTAATTGCACACTGAACAATCAGGCTTCTTGTCCGAGTTTTGGGAGTAGGCAATCTACCTCTTCCAACAGGTTTGCTTTGCTTGTTTTGCATGATGATGATCCTCCGTCGCCAGATGTCATGTTACCTAGAGCAATTTCCTTAACATCTCGCCTTCTAGGAATTGGGAAAAAAAAAGCTAAACTAACACTTCGGTCGACACCCCCATCGTCTTGGACCCTTCCATCTGTCCTTAGAAGAACAAGGCGGGGGTGTCAAGGAAACTGCTATAGGCAACATGACATCTTGCGACAGAGGATCATCATCATGTAAAACAAGCAAAGCAAACCTGTCTGAAGAGGTAGATTGCTTGCTCCCACAACTCGGACAAGAAGCATGGGTGTTCAGTGTGCAATTAGAAAATCCCATAATGCATACTTGTTTACCTTCTAGGGGAGAAGGCAAATCAGGATTTGAACCAGAATCATAACTAGAAAAGTCATCTTTGCTAGCACGACCACTCTGCTGATACAAAATCAAAGCTAAAGAATCATCTTCAACTTTATCCGAACTAGAATGAGTGATGGTAGTCTCATCTAAGACTAAAACCTAAACTGGCTCTGAAACATCCCTCTCACTCTCCTTAATGGCATCCGTAGAAATTGGCTATTTCAAAGGCCCACAATCCTTTGATCTCACAGTACAACCACTCCCTAGTGCCTTCTGAAAACCGACAATTGTCTTACCTCTATCCTAAATAGTATGAGTGATGGGAACCTCCGGTTGGTAACAAACATGGCCAAATAAGCAACACTTTGGGGAATCTCTTAGGGATCTACTCATAGTCCACCCTAAGCTTAATGGGTTCCGTAGATAACCGACACCGAATGTCAAATTGGTGCTTGAGAGGCTTGACTGTGTCTAACTCAACACAAACCTAAGCATAGGACAAACGGGTACGCTCATGATCATCTTATCACACAACAACGATAGACCCAACATAATAGAAACCATATTGAGACCTTTGTGCGTCCATAGTGGATAAGGCAGCCCATGTAACCCAACCCACACCGGTACCTTGGAAATGTGATTCTTGTTAAAGGAAAACTGAGCATGCCTTTGTTGCAAAATAATCGAATTACCCCCAAACATCCACGACCCCCTTTCTAAGACTGAATGCACAACATCCTCATCTCTAAATCTGAATATCAAGAAGTTAGTGTCAGTGGACATAATATCCTCCAAACCATCCGCTTTCCATGCACGGAAGACAATCAAGTGGGTAGCATGGAAAGGCATTGAAAAAACCCACAATACAACAACGCCAATCAGTGTCACTATTAGCAATAACATCATCTGAAATACAAAGCATTTCATCCTTAATATCTAAAGCCATAATATCAAGGGTGAAATGAGTGTCGACCTCCGTGACCTGGACTTTATCCGCCTAAGAGGAAGACATTCTTGTTGTGCTCTTACTCACAACTTTCTTATCTAAAACTAACTTCAAAGCTTATTGTTTCTCATGGGACTTATAAGACGCCCAACTAAGTTCGAAGAGTTTCTTAAAGTTCAATATTGTTAAGCTATGGAAAGTTCCCAATGTCTTACATAACAACATCATTATTTTCAAAGTCAAGAAATCCAAAACTAGGGTTTTTATAGTGAAAAACCTTGGCTATGTGCTAAGCAAGTACTTGTTATCCATCCAAGATTCCAACTCTCAAATCCATAAAGTTTTCCCTAACTTTTTGGATGGTTGGGGCTACTAGGAAGAGGTATTGGGAGTGTTTAATGGTTTGGTTTGGGTAGGGTGAATGATGGGATTGTTTGGGTGTGTTGTGTTTGGTTTAGGCATTTTCTCAAACAGTTTGTGACAGGCCAAAAAAGGTTATTATGGGCAAAATGAGAGGTGAGTTTAATAGTGACTGGTGTTTAGAGGCTAGGGGTGAAGTGTTTGTGGCAGTGGAATCAAGAGGTGGAGGCTGGGAGTGAAACCCCAAAAAGCCCAAAAAGGTTGGGTGTTAGGGAATTTTAGCGAGCATATGGGGGGCAAAGCAACCCAGGTAAATTTGTACAAGATTTTGATTACCAAACACCTTCCACTCACTTCAAATAGATGCACAAGCAAGAAAAACGCAGCAAAAACTGGACATTAGTGGCCAATAACCTGATTGCCCCTTGGTGGAAACAACCCTTTGGAACTTGCAATCTACAAACAACCAAGGCACAACAAGACCAAGGTTTTCTAGAGCACGTCAATACGGTTTGAACGGGACCAACCACGACCGTTCCGATTACTAAAATGACCAAAAACAAGATTGAAAAATGCCTGTTTTCATGAAAAAGCAGTGCACTTTTCAATCAAACCGTGAGTCCAACGACGACGGGCAACACATAGATTGAAAGAGGAGATCATTTTAACGAAGATTAGATCAAGTATCTTTAACGTCAGAAACATCTGGAATAAGGTTTAAAAAAATTGCAATGAGTGGCAAGTGTAAGTCAGTTTAGAGAAATTTCACTCTTCCTCCCCAAAACCAATATTTAATTAACCACAAATCTCGCGTTGTTCACATGATAAGATTGTTTAATGAAATAAAGACATGTGTTGCACATCTATGTGAAATTTTCTGTTTCTTAAAATTGTCACCACAATTAATTATCTTTAAATTTTATTCTATTTTTATTTCTTTATTCTCTTCAATAATTATTTGAATATTACAAAAAATATATGCTATGTTACATTAAAGATTTAAGATGAAATAAAATATTTATCTAAAGTTGCTTAGGACATTTACGCTTTAATGTTGTTAACACATCTTTGTAGTTGTGATACGTAATAACTCGTCAGCATGAATACTTTCTTATTGAAGCCAAAATATTTCTAAGTTTTTAAACACATTTAAAGTTTCTTGGCATGAAACGTTTTGTGTTTCCGTACTATCATCTTCAAGGTTATCTCCTTCCTCTTTTTGTCTAATTACAACAATGATTTGGATCAGAAGGGAACTTAGAAGGGGATAAAAATAGAATCGCATACTTATTTTCAAGGTCTGGCCACAACTCAATTCGTTAAATGAGGTTCAAAAATTATTTTTAAAGCTTTGCATTAATATATTTAGTTAATAAGACATGAGACCTTTACAAGCACCAAGTGGAATAGGAGTTGTATGGTATGAAAAGGATGTTAACATGATTGAGGTTCATAATAAGGTGATTTTCTACCTTAGAAATGGTTGATTTGTAATTAACTAATCACAATTAAATCAAAACCCTCCTTATAACAATTGTTCTAAAAACCGTATTAGACATGCCGGTTGGACTGTTGACCAACATCATCTCTGGTCCGAATTTTCAATTTTACTGTTCCCCCAATCCCCTAATCTTACCGTTGGCAAACGAGGAACTACCAAGTGCCGAGAAAAAAAGGATTTTGTAGAGTAAAGGTTGGTGGTTCAAGGAGTGGTGTCGGGTTGAATTTTAGATGCCGAAATTAGTCGAAAAAATCAATGTTTTGAAACCCAGCTCGGATTGACCAGTCAAATTGGTTTGATCGGGACTCGGCTAGTAAGCTAGGCTAGTTGAGGCAAAAAATTGAGGGCTCTAATTTTCCTAGTTTAACTTGTGGTTGGATCGGCGTACTGTAGCCAATCCAGTTGATTTTTCCAATAAACTGAGTCAACTAAAAAAAACAACCCTTTTCATTCCCTAAACCCAAATTCCAATTATTTTTGCCCATTTTTATGCCATTTCCCTTTGACATTTGCTATGAAAATCTTCCACCGTGATTCCCCTTCACCATTGATTTCCTTTCTCCACTGTCGATCTCCTCTTATTCGTCGTCAACTGCAGCTCATCTTCGCCAAGTACCGTCATCTCTTCCTCCCATTTGCGTGATCTCCTCTCTTCACTGTCGATCTCTTCATCTTCATCGTCAGCTACAACTTATCTTGCCCAGGTATCGTCGTCTCTTCCTCCCATTTGCACTATCTCTTCTCTTCACCAGCGATCTCCTCCTCCTCATCGTCAGTTGTAGCTCATCTTCGCCAGGTGCCGTCCTCAGTGCTTCTTTTGTTCTCTATTCCCTGTTTACTTTAATTCACTTCTGGTATGCATCTTCTTTTGTCAATCCATCATTTTGCCATTTCTTTGACTCTGTAATATTTCTCAACCCAATTTTTGCTTTATAACTTAAGGTTCATATTTGACTTTACAAGACTTCAACTTTCACTAGAATTAACAAATTTGCCCCTAAATTGTTGATCTTTTTGTTAAGATTTTTATCACAATGTTCTACAAATATCATTTTCTTCTTGATTTTGTTGCTACCTTGGTCTTTCTTTCTTGATATTAATATTATTACTATTGCTTTAATCTTTGAAGCCACCCGGTTGTAGAATGGAATTGGGGGCTACTTTGAAGATAACCCAAGTTCTTTTGTTTAGCTTCAAACTAACCATGTTGAGTATTTCTTTATTTATAGGCTGAAATCAACTACTACTTGAAAGATAAGGAAGCATACAAGCAACTTATTCATCACTACTAAGCCATTTTCTTGTTGGTGAGAATCTTTCCTCCTGATTGAATCTTCTTTAGCTCTATAGGTCACACGAGGAAATTATGTTAAGGTTGATCTTATTTGATAACTTCAATGCCATTGCTAGGCCTTCATATAATTTGTTCATTAGTGTGTAGTGTTTTGTATTTGTGTTTTGTTTTTATAATTGACAAAAAGAAATATTACAACCAAAGTTGTCTTGTAATCCATTAAGACACTGCCAAACCAGTGAAGATCCATTAATTGGCAAGTAAATTACAATGGCACAAAAGGCTAAAGGGCATTCTTTAGTTACATTAATATTTACACTAATATTTTCTTTCTTTTTATCATTCATTAGAAATCATTTTTGGTTTGTTATGTTGTTTGATTATTATCAATAAAAACTTATTTGTGTTGCTAGGATAGAGATAAAGATTAAAGATAAAAATGTCATCATTTGGGTCTCGTCAACAATCTTCTTCCATGGATGTTTCACAATCTTTTTGAGGAAGGAATGATATAGCATGGGACATGTTACTGAGGGCGTAGATGAAAATGGGAAAAAGATATTAACATGTCTATACTGTGGCAAGATAATCAGAGGCGGAGGTATTTATTGAGTGAAATTGCATCTAGTAGGTATAAAGGGGGAAGTTGGAAAGTGCTCTAAAGTTCCTTTTGATGTTAGATTCAAGATGCACTAAATGAAATTGGGGCAAAAAATAAACAAAAAGTTGAACTTTGTAAGAATGTCAATCCTTATGGAGCTAGTGTACAACAATTTGAGGGTGATATGTTAGATGAAGATTGTGAAGAGGTTTCTCCATCTCCAGCTCCAGCTTCAAGCACTAAGAGAAAAAGACCTATTGGGATTGGTGGCTATTTTGCTCCAAGGACTAAGCCTAGGTCTCATCCCTCTATTAATATTGTTTTAGCCGAAAAAGAAGCTAAGTGGAGAGTGAACATGATAGTTGCAAGGTTATTTTATGATTCTTGCATCCCAATAAATGTTATTAATTCAATTTATTTCCAGTCTATGGTGGATGCTATAACTGTAATTGGTCTTAGGTATAAACTCTCAACTTATCATAGTTTGCGTGTAAATTTATTGAGAAATACTAAGAAAGAAGTGCAATTACTTGTTGATGGTTACAAGAAAACTTGGGAAGATATTGGATGTACTATAATGACTGATGGATGGACAGATATTTCACATAGGTCACCAATTAATTTTCTAGTGTACTGTCCTAAAAGAGTGTGTTTTGTGAAATCAATGGATGCTTCAGATGTTGTAAAGGATGTTGGAACATTGTTCAACTTGTTTGAGGAAATAGCTTTATGGGTTGAACAAAACAATATTGTCCATCTTGTCACTAACAATGTAGCAAATTATAAAGCTACTGGAAGAATGTTGTGTGAAAAAATAGCAGTATTATTTGGTCTCCCTGTGCAACACATTGCATTAATTTGATGTTAAAAGACATAGCTGAGATGAATCACATAATTAACCTTTCAAGACGTGCATATGAGGTTACAAAGTTTGTGTATAATCACATATTTGTGATAGCTTTGCTGAGGAAAAAGGTTATATACCTTTACCTCATATGTTTATAATTTACATTGTCAGGTCATATTATATATATACATTTCTTTTTTATAATTTACTAACATCTATTGTCTATCACTTGCATAGAGTTGGACATAAATTGTATGCCCAGGTGCAACCCGTTTTGCCACAACTTTCATTGCATTAAGTAGCCTACATCGGCACAAACATGACCTGCAATCTACGGTGATAGATAGAACTTTTGTAGAGTCTCGTTATGCAAGAACTAATAAAGGCAAAGCATTTAGTTCCCTAGTTCAAGATAACCGATTTTGGGTTGATATTGGTATAATTTCCATAGTTGTGAGTCCATTGATGCGTATGCTTCGGATTGTAGACTTAGATGAGAGCCCTTCAATAGGATATGTGTATGATGACATGCACAGAACGAGGATGTGGATCAAGAAGCTGTTTAAGAATAACAAAAAGTCAGTACAAGCCTTATGCAACAATTATTAAGATACACTGGGATAAGATGTTGTGTTGTGATATTCATGCAACAGGTTATTATTTAAATCCTGCTTTTAAATATGATGAAAATACTTTTTTCCAAAAAACACGAGGTCATTATGGTTTCCTTGACACTATTGAGAGTAAAGCAAGTGAGTTCAAAATGAAAAAGACAATATTACTGGAGGAGAGTAGATTATATCGGGAGCCGTCTAGAGAGCTTTTCTCATGAGCTTGCTCTTCAAACTTGCAAAACTACACATCTTGGTATGTAATAGTTATTAAATTTTCGAGTCTAATTTTTCAATTATGAAATTGTGTTTATTTCTTATGTTTTATTCTCAGTTAGATGAATTGTGGGGGACATTTGGGTTTAATGCTTCAAATTTGTAAAAGTTTGCGATCAAAATTCTAAGTCAGACTTTAACCTCTTCGGGATGTGAGTGAAATTGAAGTGTTTTTGCATGCATACATACTAAAAAGAGGAACAAATTGGAATATCAACGATTGAATGATCTGGTTTTTATTCATTATAACTTGCGTTTGCAAAATAGGTATAAAGCTTTCATCCTTTTTCTTATTAATTATTATCTCTTATTTTTATTTTCATTGATGTCTTTATTGGTCATGATTTTAATTTAATTCTAATATTTCAGAAGTTGGTACGAAGAAAATTACTTTTGATCATATTGATTATGAAAGTATTGATAAAACTGAATGTTGGATAGTTGATGAGGAAAATGAGGTTGATGAACTTAATTATGATGAACTGGAACAATCATTATATGGAGAATGATCTATTCCTGTAGATGGTGGTGATCACCATTCTTATTATGACTAAGATGCTTAGAAGGTTGTTTCCAATTTTTTAAGCAATTTGAATTTGTTATTAGCTGGTTTAAATTCAATTAGTTTAAATGGGAAACTTTAACTTATGATTTTCCTTTTTCGCTAAAACTTTTTGTAGATGATGTTGTTAATGTTAATAATGATGATGAACATCTGTTATATCGTGTGTGAATTGTGAAGTTCAATTGAGGATGGATTGAAGACCATTGGGTAAAGATCATTTTTTGCTAAAATGTTTATTAATTATTATGTGACTTCTTCATTAATTTTGTTATTTTGATTTGTAATTAGTTGTAATAGGGATTGTATTAATTTAATAAAGGGTTTTTTATTCAAGAATTTGTGATTTGGATTTTGAAATTCTGGACCGTGAATAATTGCTTGGCTGACGTCATCATGTTGACATCAACATCAACATGATGACATTATCGATTGAACCGGTAAACCCGAGACCCAGCCAGTTTGTCAGATTTTGCCCTGGGTTAGTTTTTAAAACATTGGAAAAAATCAAGCCAATACATGAGTCACGGCTGACCAACGGGAGGCTACCAGGTGCTGAGGTTGGATGGGTTTTGTAAAGTAAAGACTAGTGGTTCAAGTGTTGAATTGAATTTTGAACGTTGGAATCAACCAAAATTCGTCCAAAAAATAAACCCAATCGCAACGGTATTCGCAAGTCACGATCGACGAATGAAGAGCTACAAAGTTCTAGGGTTAGAGGGATTTTGTAGAGTAGAAGACAATGGTTTAGGTAGCCGTGTCAGATTGAATTTCAACCACCGTAATTAACTGAAATTTCACCAAAAAAAGTCAAAACCCAAACAAATCATAGGGGTGTATTTACTAGATTTCAAACCTACAAGGATTAAAAATACTTTTAGGGGTGTTTTTGCATGATTTTAAACTTTTCGGACCACCAGTTTGACCGGCCAGACCGATCAAACCGTGAACCAAGCCCTTGCCCAGGTCAAGGCCCAATCCGGTTTTCAAAACATTGCTTATAACTCGTAGTAGGACCATGCTCTTGCTACTTAACTTCACAGATGTTGATATCAAAATTAGCCACTGCAACCAATTTGTATATGCCAAACAAAAATTTTAGTGGCAACAAGAATCTAGACAATCTATGAAGAGAACCCAGAATTCATTCAACTATATCACGCAAAAGAATCTGGTAATTTGAAAGATTAACTAAACAAATCAAGGATGAATATCTAATAACGCCATTCATAATTATCTTTTCCAGGATCCAGATAAATATTCATCAAATTCAAGGATGAATGAAATATCTACTAACAATGCCAAAGATTGCCGTTTCCGATTACCAAAACACCAGTGACATCGAGGGACCTGAATATAGCAATGACTTTGACATCACCATGGCTTTCTCATTTTTTTTTTCTAGAAGTAATCTGATTGAGACCTTGTAAACCCATCCTGTAACATCTCATACTGCAACAAACAACCTGTACACGAATTTCATTTCTATTATGAGCTGCAATTAAAAAAACACTGTTCCTTAGAAGCAGGATACCTGAACCTGCAAAACTCATAACGTGTAAGAAGAATACCAATATTCATTTACATTTAAACAACAAATAGGGCAGTTTAAAGAAGCAAAACCCATCAAGAACCATGAAAATTTCATCTTTTGCAGGCCTTGATGTATGGTGGTCACAGAATCCCCAACTGTAAAATTCATAAACACAAACATACAAACACTGAGAACAAAAAATGAAAAACTTTTATTGCATGCACACACTTGCAACAAAGATATCAGAACTAAGGCTTCAATATGAGTAAGTGTGGCCATAAATTCTAAGATCTTCAATAAAATACCCAGTGCCTATCAACTCCAGTGTAAACATTTTCAAAAGCTAGAAACGTGTAAAGTGAAGTACTATCCCAATCAACAGTTTGACAAGAGTGAAATCAATAGAATCTAGTCAATTTTTGAAAAGAGAAATTCTAAAGCATGAAATTCAGTAAAAAAGTTAGTGAAGGTAAGAGGAACTAGCTTGAAACAAAAACTTGAGACGGAAGAAAATTTGGTAGGGAAAAAAACTGGTAATAGGCTACAATTAAACTGATAGATAATAGTGGGAACTAAGTGCTCTTGCAAAGCCAACACATGCAGTGATGCACACAATCAAGCAGCTCCAAAGTAGTTGGGAAAGGCAAAAAACAGCAAAAAGAAAAAAAAAATGTGGAAAACATTTCCCAAGCTACATTACAGGATTGACCTGTACACCACCTGCAAAGTGGAAAATGGCTGTAAGATGTATTTATCAAATGGGCGCTCTCCTCCACTGAAATGTAACTTCATCTAGAGAGAAAGCTAAAAGTCACAATATAAACATAAATGGGAGCGAAAACGAACCACATACTGTTAAGTAGATCAGTATACATAGTCTCCTTGATTCGGCGGAGGCTGCTGCTGATATCCACAGTGTTGGTTACCATTTTGCATATAACCATCATTGATATTTTCGGATTCTTTGTTGTTGCCGGTATTTTCTTTACTAGCATTTTCTTGCATTTCTCTTTCCCTGTTCCACTGCTCAATTTTGGCTCGTCTCTCCTCACTGCCTTTTCTCTTTCCCTGACAGGACTACGATTCCGTCTTCCACCAGGACTTCTGCTTCTCCCTCTCCTATGGCTAGGGCTTGTGCTCCTATGCCTCCTGCTCCTACTTTCATGATAGCACTCCCTGTCATTGAACCTTCTGCTAGAACCATGCCCACCATGTGAACGCTCTTCATGGCTGCGATGCCTATAGGGGCTCCTGCTGTGGCTAGGCCTTCGCCTGTATCTCCCAAATAGTTCACGCCTCAACTCCCTAAAAAAATAAGATACAGTGGAGGAAAAAGATTCAAATGATATCACTCCATTCTGCCTACTAAACGAAAAAGAACATGACGAGAATTTCTGCAATTACCTGCCAATCCTTTTCAGGTGCATGAAATTGCAGTATCCACCACGGTTGCAGGTGTTCTCCTCATATTGCCTACAGGTGGCTTCACGGAAATCCGTCACAGGGGAGAAGTCCACAATAATGGGACGTCCTGTCATTATTGATGTTAAAATCAAGGTAAGAACAAGATAAATAAGAAAAAGTCCAAAGCATTCACCACAATTCATCACACATTGAAGAATTACAAACTTTAGAAGTTGAACTAATATAAAATGAAAGGGGAGAAGAATCAGTCAGATCACTCTATCAAACACTTAAAAATACAGAATAGCAGTAAGAACTCTAACCAGCATAAAACCTCCCAGTCAGATTTTTTAGTGCTCTTGCAGCATATTCTTCCTCCCTAAATTGAACATACACATTACCAACCTGCATAGAGATTTAAATGAACTTACACATCAAATAAGATGAAATACATAAGTTACCCAGAAAGACAAAAAAAAAAAAATAGTTCATGAAACACTTACCATGTGGTCAGCTAGGTTGTCACAGACATTCAAGCTCTCAATGTCACCATATTTGCTCAATTCCTCAAAGAGATCTTCATAAAAATCCTGTAATTTCATTTGAAACACTTATATGCTAAAGCAAT